AACAAAAAACAAAATCGAAAGTTATAAAAAAAGAAAAAAAAAAGCACGAATACCCACCTAAACCCAAATATCTCATACACCAGTACCCCACATCGAAAACTATAAACAAAACAAAAAACAACAACAACAACAAAAAAACACGAATACCCACCTTGACCCAAATATCCCATACACCCGTACCCCACATCGAAAGTTATAAACAAAACAAAACAACAACAAAACAAAAACAACAAAAACAAAACAGCAGGAATACCCACCATGACCCAAATATCTTATACACCCGTACCCCACATCGAAAACTATAAACAAAACAAAAAACACCAAGCCAAAACAAAAACAAAAAACAACAACAACAAAAAACACGAATACCCACCTTGACCCAAATATCTCATACACCCGTACCCCACATCGAAAACTATAAACAAAACAAAAAACACCAAAACAACAACAAAAAACGAAAAAAATAAAAACACCATCGCCACAAAGCCCCTTCCGGCGGCGCACGTCAACCCCGAGCGCACAACAGCCCCGATATCAAACCTTTTCCTTCATTTTGCACCATTTACCTCGATATCAAACCTTTTCCTTCATTTGCACATTTACCTCGATATCAAACCTTTTCCTTCATTTGCACATTTACCTCGATATCAAACCTTTTCCTTCATTTGCACATTTACCTCGATATCAAACCTTTTCCTTCATTTGCACCATTTATCTCGCAAGGAGACGGTGTCAGCGGCTGAGGATCTGTCCATTAGCCAAGATGAGATGTTAAGGAGCTCGAGGAACGTCAAGATGTTTGCGTGTGTGTTTCAAAGTCGAGGAACCCCGGCCAGAATAGCCGCCATTAGGGAGGAAAACAGACGGGATGGTTTTTTTTTTTTTTTTCGTCTTCTTCTTCTTCGGGAGGAGTGGGGAGGTGGGACGGGGGAGGGTGAGGGGGTGTTTTCTTTTATATGTTCTCTTGAAGGGGAATTATTATTATTCTTCGGGAGGAAGGGTGAGAGGAGTGGGTGGAGGAGGATGAGGGGGTGGGGTTGTGGGTGAGGGTGTGTGTTTTTTTTTTATATGTTCTCTTGAAGGGGAACTGTCGTTGCGTATGGATCGCTGTTTTTTGTGTTTTTATTTTGTTATTTGTTGCGTCAGGAGGAGGAATCTGTTTTTTTTTCCACCGATGAACAGCAAGGTCGCCGGAGAGGTTACAACGACCTAGCAGTAATAACGTTCATTCTATCACCATTTCTCGCTGGTGTTAACTGCCATTCGTTCTATTACTGTTTCTGGCTGGTTTTAACTGCCATTCGCCCCTTCGTTAAGAGTGGCATGTGTCTTTGTCGCAGAAGTAATGTTTCCTTGCAGTATAATAACTTGCTACAGTACATTAACTGGAGAATGTTATAAATACATTTTCATGTCCATTTTCTGGATAATTGTATTTCTCATCATTAGCGTGATGCGGGTGCGGTGTATATTTTTTTTTTTATGTAGTCCTCTGTCGTCCTCTCTCTCTTTTTTTTTCTCTCTGTCTCTTTCTATTTCTTTCTCTCTTTCTCTCTCTCTCTCTCTCTCTCTCTCTCTCTCTCTCTCTCTCTCTCTCTCTCTCTCTCTCCTCTCGCTCTCTTCTCTCTCTCTCTCTCTCTCTCTCTCTCTCTCTCTCTCTCTCTCTCTCTCTCTCTCTCTCTCTCTCTCCCTCCCTCTCCCCTCTCCCCTCCTCTCCCTCTCCCCTCCCTCTCTCTCTCTCTCTCTCTCTCTTCTCTCTCTCCCTCTCTCTCTCTCTCTTCTCTCTCTCCTCCCTCCCTCCCTCCCTCCCTCCCTCCCTCCCTCCCTCTCCCTCTCCCTCTCCCTCTCCCTTCCCCTCTCCCTCCCTCCCCTCTCCCTCTCCCTCCTCCCTCCTCCTCTCCCTCTCCCTCTCCCTCTCCCTCTCCCTCCCTCTCCCTCCTCCCTCTTCCCTCCTCTCCCTCTCTCCCCTCCCTCCCCCTTCTCTCTCTCCCTCCCCGTTCTCTATCTCTCTCTCGTACCTCAAGACCCTTCATCTAATGCACCACATCTCTTTTTTTCCAGAATGGTAAAAACAGGGGGTACTACATGACCCACTCCTACCCCCCCGGCGCCCCGCCCACCAAACACCGGCGTGGCCCCCATCCCCCGCGGCCGAGGCCCCCCTACTCCCCAGCAGGTAAGTCCCTCCCCCTCAGCCCTTCTGTGTGGGTTAGTGTCACCCCGACAGTGCCTCTCCCATTGGCTATGTTATGTGCTGTAACCACATGGGATGACGTGTGATTACCTGACCTGCATGTTTGACCTGAAACGACCTGGAATTAGAGCCTGGCACTAGGACCTGGCACTGATGACTGGTTTAATAGGCTTATGGTGCGAGGATGTCGGGTGTCAGGCACGGGTCTTGAGCTCTCGGGACGAACGCTGCCGACCTGGCCTTCGAGCCGCTGGCAGACCTACTTCAGCAGACCGGCGTCGGCAGACCTGGCCAGCAGACCAGAGCTCCGTGGTCTGGGCACTTTCTTTTGCTGATCTCACATTGAGTTCTAGTCTGAGACCGAATGGCCGCGTCTCTCGCCGAGGCCCCTGACCACGCGTGGTCCGGGACCCGCGCAGAGGCCGGTGAGGGAACTCGGCGCTGAGGTGTGTCTGAGCCGCTGGCGAGGCTCCTGCCGAGCCCTCTAGCCAGGACCCGGCCCAGAGACGCCCGGGCGCCCGGCGGGCCTCCTGCCGGCCCTGCGTGCCCCGGGGCCTGGTGCTGCTGCCAGGGCGCGAGACGCGAGTCGCCTGTACTTTGTAAGCGAACATTTCAGTTATATCTTATAATTTCGGGTTTCACAAACAACATAATACATTTTATGCTCTCCCCAGCTGGGGGCGTGGCTCCCCCTAAGCCCCAGCGGTACTCGGGCGGACCGGGTGGCCCGGGCGGGTCTGCGGGCGGGCCCCCTGGCATGATAGGCATGAAGGGCGGAGTCAGGCCGTCAGCGCCCCCCGCCGGGCCGCCCACGGGACCTCCAGGTGGGCCACGCCCGCAACACTTGGCCCGCTCCTACTCCTCATACTCTTCCTCGCCAGAACGCATCGACCTCCTCTACTCCTCACAGGGTCAGTGTCATCACAGCCGCCATCACAGCCATTTCCTCCTCTCACTGTGACCGCCTCGTCGTCCTCATGCGTGCCATCGCCATGACGCCCCCGCCCCCCCCTCGCGCGGCCGACTCACCCCATCCGACGCCTCCGCCCCCATCGCCCCCGCCCCATCGCCCCGCCCCCATCGCCCCGCCCCGTCGCCCCGCCCCCATCGCCCCGCCCCCCATCGCCCCGCCCCCGTCGCCACCCCACACCGTCACCCACACTCGCCCCCCCATCCATCGTCTTCACCGCCATCGCCAATGCCACGTCAACAGTGCCCAACCCGAGACACAAACATCAGTCAGTTTTGCGCCAGCTGCCAGTGCCGCCCCCGCCCCCCCCACCCCCCCCCCACTCTAAAGCCAAGCCCCCCCTCTTTTCTATCCCCGTAAATTATTAGCCATTATGCCCTCTTGATTCCCTTTATTATCGTTGTCTTCGTTCCCCTACAGTGACTTTCCCTGCCGTCACTTCAGTCTGCCATCATGTCAACCGCAGTGCCAGGCAAGGTTTGGATCCCCCGTCCCTCCTGTCAGTCACAGATGTCACTTCATTCCCTGTGGCAGTCAATTCCCAACAACCTGTCACGAGTTATAAACATTTGACTCCACCACAAGTTATTACAAGTTAATAACATTGACTCCACCAACTTGTTACTTAATAATATTGACTCCACCAACAACTTGCTACTTAATAATTCTCCACCAACAACTTGTTTCGAGTTAATGACATTGACTCCACCACAAGTTATTACGAGTTAATAACACTGACTCCACCAACAACTTGCTACTTAATAATATTGACTACACCAACAACTTGCTACTTAATAATATTGACTCCACCAACAACTTGCTACTTAATAATATTGACTCCACCAACAACTTGTTTCGAGTTACATACAACATGTCCATGTTCCCATTCTCTAGTCAGAAGTTATCAACGCGGAGTGACAGATCATTCGAAACACTGACTTCCTCCTTTCTATCACTTCTTTACTCATCCATACACTTTATCTACCCTCTTCTGCTTAAATAATACTGTTTGAGCTAGCTACCTAAATCTCCTGACCTCTTCCCATCTTGCCCTAAACTTATTACTATTCCTCTGCATATGTAATACATACTATTGACTCCAACCGAACAGAGTACAATGATTTGTATATTAAGAAGGAGGAATGTAATAAATATCGTCCAGAAGAAATTAAAACCAAACAGAGTTGAAAATGATTACCGAGTTTTAACCTTAGCGGACATTTCGACGATCTAGCGCAAGACAGCCATAGACCAAGATGAGTCATGAGATGAAATAATAACCATTGACGATACCGACGAAGACAAGAGAGATGAGTTAGATTGAAAAATTATGAGTCATGATATGAACGTGACCGAGCGGCGAATAAAATTACACATATCGTCCTTTCGACATTTCTTACTCTAGCACGTTAAGTATCTACTTTTCTCATTGATCTGGGTTCCGTCACCAATTGGGACTTCTGTGATTTATCGAATTTACATGACTCCACCCAAAGTATTACAGTTAATAACACTGACCCACCCAAACAACTTGGCTACCTTAATAATATTGACTCCACCAACAACTTGTTCCGAATTAATAACATTGACTCCACCAACTTGTTTAAAAGTTAATAACATTGACTCTACCAACAACTTGTTTCTTCATAACATTTGACTCCACCAACAAGTTCTTATGAGTTAATAACATTGATTCCACCAACAACTTGTTTCAATTACATTTAACTCCAACAACTTGTTTCGAGTTAATATGTGACTCCACCAACATTGACTCCAAAAACGGGGGGAGTCATTTTTCGATCCTGCCTTAAAGTCCATCATTAAAGCTTTGCCTTCCATCATTTGTTTACGTCGGGAGGGCCAGCTGGTGCCGTTCACAAAGCAGTGCCATAAATCAGTGCCTTTCGCCGCTCCCATTCTTCATCCTTGCGTCATTTTCCAAATATTTAGGGCCTTCGGGGGTGCCAACAATGCTACTTTTCATATTTTTATTTTTTTTCTCACATTTCCTTCTTTCTTATCAACATCAGTACTGCTATGACTATCTCAATCATCACTATCGTCATCACTAGCGTCATCGTCATTGCTATTGTCATCCTCACGATCATCATGAGTATGATCTTGAACTTCTCCCATCAACAAATCCAGCATCCAGCATTTAATCCCATGGCCATCTCATTCATCATTATTCATCGCCTTAGGCAACACCTTTCTCCCATCTGTCAGCCAGTCTCTGAATTGTCTCGACCCTTCACTCGCATACTTTTCTATGTTATTCGTCATCATCCTCTATTCCACCATCCACCACACCATCCTCAAACTCTACTACCATAATTTGATTTCACCCTGTCCAACCAACTAAACTGCCGCATACCACTGCAGCCACCCGCCGAATGAGCGAGCTCCCACACTGACCTCATATAAACACCACACACCACTCACAACCACAGATACACCCGCGACCACTTATTGATTTCCACACACACCACAACCATTACTATCACTTTGCTGTCAATCCACCCAGTTGTCGTATCAACATCAACAACATTATTAAACCATCTCAAAACCCAATACATGTGTGTCACCCAAACAGTTTGTTCCTCTATTAGATAATAGTTACCTCCGGTGTACCAACCATTTGTCGTCCCGTGAAGACCTCTATACTCACAAAAGTTTCTGCTTAAATTTATGCCCCTTCTCCTGCTTGGACCCTTTTACTCTTGTTGACCCTATTGTTTCATCAGGCTAATATATATGGTGATTATATCGATCTTATTTGCCTCTTACATAAGAACAACTCTTATACGGTAAATAGTATATTCAATATAGAAGATACTATGGAGAAGCAGAGATTACATGAATAAAGGTATATATGAATGTGTGAGGGGAGAGATGGGAGAAGATAGAGAGGTTATAAGGGAGATAGATAGAGCAGTGACACAGCAGCGAACAGACATGAATAGATGCACCATAATACCTACATACATACCAATAGTATATATAGACATGCTAATATGTAGATATCATAGAGAGATAGATATGGTTATATTGAATCCCTACTAGAATTGCAATATATTTGAATGGTATACAAAGATAGAAAGAGAAAGCTAGAGGAGTTAGAATAAAGAATAGTTAGAGATTGGAATAAACAGAGGTAGGAATATTAGGGAAGTATATACAGACGAATTATAGGAATAATTAAGAAGATTCGAAAATAATGATATATATAAGAGAAATTATAGAATAGTTATATTAGATTATCATATAGATAGATATGAAGTAATACTAACGATATGTAGATATAATATATATATAGATATAATAGATGACTAGAATTATATAAATATGACACAGAATAAATTTGGGACCGCATGTAAAGTCAGTATAAATTCCAAATAAAAATCTCAATGTCTCTCTCTGATACGCGAGCGAGATGTTCCTTAACACATACTGCGAGCATACCTACACATACGACACAACATACACGGAAAGATGCTTCTTGATACTTTGTGATTATTCCGCTTGTATTACTCAAATGTCTTCAAACGAACCAATGCGAGCCCAGACCCGATGAATATTATTATACGGAAATGCATGTAGTATATAAAGTAAGAACATCATTACTATGCAGAGCGAGAGTAACGAAGCAATATCTACCGGGATAATAGATAACTAATATAATAAACTATTTGTTAGATAGATTCACGAGATAAATGAGCTCATTCTTAATCCCACATCATGATGGTGTCAGATCCTCGCGCAATGATTTAACAAACCGGCCATTGTCTAGAGAGTATTTATTGTCTTACCATTATATGCACAGTTATTACGACACTACATCTCATCACTACATCAAAATTTCAGTGATCACACAAAACAATATGCATATGCTTACTGTATCCCTGTATTTATCTCCTCTCTGTCTCTTTATGATTTATAGTGCGTTGATAGCCTACATACTAAAAATACGAAAGAATGAAGAGAGAACATGCAGAACCTTATTTTCTCATAACGAATAGACCATCAATCATTCAGTCTGAGTTAGATCCAAAAATCCACAATGAAAAAACTTGACGATATTTATGAGGATAAGAGAAGATTATGTACATAATATGAGGATGAGAGATGGCGATCGAATATCTGTATGTCTGCGAGAGAATTGAGGAACGATGGTGTGTGATGCCTAAAATATCTACTATATATATATATATATATATTATATAATGATATTAATATATAATATATATATATATATATATATATTTAATATATATGTAATATATATAGATATATAATAGATAGTAAGGATATGAATGAGATAGAAGAATATATATATACAGAGTATGTAAGTATATAGATATTATATATGAAATATACAAGATAGTAATAGAGATAGATAGATATATAAGACAATGATATATATATATATGTGAGATGTATGAAGGAAAGAGAAATACAGTAATAAGTGATAACAGTAATTAATAAGAGACACACACACACGGCAAAATGAGGAAGAGGAATAATATACAGTATAGTGAGCACGAATTGGAAAAGTAATAGCAAAAATAGATGAAATAGATAGACGAGAGAAGAGTATATGATCTGATAAGGTAAGAGAAATAGTAGTAGAAGAGTAGATAGATAATATGGAAAGAAGAATTAGATGAATCGAGAGACATATAGGAAGAGAAAGAGAGATATAGAGTAATATAGTAAGTAAAGAAGAATAGAGAGACCGAGATATGATAATATAATTGTATTTATTTATTATGAAGAGATATTAGAGAAGATAGAGAATGATGTTATAATGGAATGAAATAGATATGAGGAGAATAATAAGATAATTGTAGAAATAAAAGGAAAACAAGAAAATGAAAGAAAATAAGAATTAAGACAGAGAAAATATGAGATGAAGAATGAAGGTTAAGAGTATAGTGATAA